TAACATTTTCTTTTCTTCAGAAACAAAACAACCACAAGGTCAAGAGTGTGTCGTATGACTCCAGATGACGAAGAAACTTCTGCCAACCACAGCAAACTCTTTCTTCCAGTTCGTTGCCTTATAAGGACGTGTCAGTCAAAGCCTTGGGGACAGTGTGTGTTATCATACCAATGAATAAAGTCCAAATGGTGACCTTTGATTGTACGTGTGTGTGCTGTGTACTCTGGTACAGGATCCAGAGTCATTAACTTCCAGGATGAGGCATGAAGGTGTGGCCTAAACAGGACAAAATCAATAAATAGGCCTGCTGGAGACAGTACCTGCTTTCTTTGTTCTTAAGAGTGTGTAAATGTGACAACACACTCATATCCTTTTATTTTCATCTTTTAATCTCACAGTAGCTGCAGTGATTCTGCTCCTGGTAAGTTTCAAATCCCTGTGACTCCTTCTTCTCTTGTTGTGTCTCTCTGATTTGCTCAGGAAACTTGTATTGACTACAGATCATCTGCAGCAGCAGACAGGTTTTTCCAAATGTAGGTTAGATGCAAACGGAGTGCTGATAGCTTTAGAGTCAGCTTTCAAATTATTCCTCTGAACTTAGACGACTGAATCGTTCTTGTTTCAACCTAAAAGGTGGAGCTTGTGTAAATGAGCAGATCTAGAGCAGCAAGAAAATGTGTGAATCACAGACCATCTGTTGTGACAAGTACGATAAATTCAGCCTTTCAGAAATAATATGATATAAAACAAGTTTATTCACTTTAGAATTCCAGTGATGCTCCTGACAAATGTTTGAGGATTCAACCTCTGATGATTTTATGGTTTAAAAAAGTTAAAGTTAGGCAGCTGAGATATTTTGTTTGACAGTTTAACCATAAAACTCTAATAAAAGCTTTCAAATATGATTCTATTACCTCTTACCTGACTGTTTTATTCAGGTGCCTCCAATTTCATTCTCTGATACTATAGATCAATTCTTAACTTGATTCATAAAACACAGGATAAGACACTGTGACAGCCTTGAGCACTGGACTATTTAAACGTTTCAGACCAAAATGAGTCACAAACAGTATGATTCCATGATCAAATATCTCAAAAAAAGTTGAGTGTTACAAGGAGTTCTCTAGCTAGACTCAGGAGTATGAGTCATTATAAACCAACAACAGTGTTGACGATTGCAACTAATGTTATAAGGCCCCCTGGTGGAGACAACAGGCTGCTGCATCTGAAGCTGTAAAGTATTGCCATGACAACACAGGAATGGAAATGCTTTTGTGCTGACAACCAATTATATTTAAATACATGGATTAGATGCATTTAAGTGTAATAACTATAGACTATAAACCTGAGACAAACTAAGTCCTGATTGTATTCATTTCAAACGTGTAGCAGCCCGTTTCCAGACCTCTGATTCTCAGCCTACATTCATGAAGCAGAGAGAGACTGCCAAGAATTACAGCTGTCACAGATGATAAGATCAAAAAGACAAAGTCTGAAAACTGTTTTTCAGATGCTTGTGTGAGCATTTGTTTCACTATTCTTCTTGCCATTGTTGCTATTATTAGTTGTAGACAAACAACCTGTGTTGTGTTTTTATAAAGTTGTGTAGATGGAACTGCCATTCACTGACTTAGAACTGAGCTTCATCATCGTTGCCTTCATCATCTTCTCCTTATTCAGCACGGCTTCAATCTGCATCCAGTCACACGGACCCCAGTCAGGTACCAACATGCTCTGTTAAGGCCAATTCATACTTTCCGTGTTCGCTCAGACACCTATGTGGATGTCCCTATGCAACCCAAAACTTGTGGCTACAAGGTAAATCTGTGAACTACCTATCTCCCATTACAAATACATATTTGATTTCTGCAGATAAACTTACTTAAAGGGGAGGACAAAAGTGTAAAATCATGTCTGATGTCTTATCCCGCTGCGCACACCCAGTAGGCTACATCTCAATCTCTCCCTGTTTCCTGAGATACCAAATGCACACTGTCAGGCACCTTGTGCACTGGACATTAAACTGTGCCAAGGTTTTAATTGACTATTAATTGCAAACATTTCCACCACAGTGTGGCCTCAATCAGAGTCAGTGAAGATGTGTTAGTCAAACGAAAGCCCATATTAGAGACTACATCATGGATTATTTATGGGCACGACTTATTATCTTCTTCCCACGTGTTGTCCTGTCCCAACCCAGCTGTGCCTAACAATCATATCAGGTTTTGGCAATTGCACAGGGGGACAATAGGACGATGTGACTCAGGTGAAGATCGCCCAACACTAACCAACACCAACTATAACGGAGTGTGACTCAGGAAATGTGCATGCATGGAACATTAGACCAATGCGGCCCCTCAAACAATGGAAGCTCAAGTCCGCAAATGTCTACGGATGCGGAAAGTATCTCCAAGTCTTTATCAGATACACCTGGATAAAAGATTCTAATGCTGTGACTTGTATGCATGTTTGCTTTTAGAAAGAGATTTGTATGAAGCAAAGGAGTCAAGAACGTTTAACAGAAAGGAAAGAGTCATCGGAAAGGAAGCTCAACAGATGCCATGAGGTCAGGACTCAATTTGCTGGTATTCATTGTACAATGAAGTTTTTACAAGAACAAAAGAGAGACAGAACACAAAATGGAAACCGAACACATTCATACTGTGGCCATTGTCCTCTGACTTTGCACTCAGGGTGGGATACTCAAATACTGTTATCAACAGAATAATGTTGTACTGCTGTAATCCAAGCTGCATCATGTCGGGAATTTAATAAAGACTAATCATGAAATGAAAAAAAACTTATGATAGTTTCAAGGTAAAAAAAACAAACATTTGAAAGCTCTGTTGCCATTGTTGGACAGTAGACCATATTAGCATTCAACAACTCCCTTGCCAATTTACCATCTGATACTGTTACATAATACGACGGGAAAGCATTTTAATTCTAAAATATGAATGCAGATTTTGACACATGTATTTAAACTTGTGAGTAAAATTCACCATGGATAACGGGGATTTGAAGTATTCAAATATTCCATAACTTGATGGAAATGACAGCAACCAAAATTGGTATGAACTTTGCCATATATAAAAAAAACTGTTCTTCCATGGCTGGATCATGATAAGGTGCTGTAAGATCCATTGACCATAAAGATCATTATACATTTCTTTGTGCACTGTAAATAGTTGCTATAAATCTACTAATGTGGATCGATATACAACCATGGTGCAAAGCCTGGACACTGGGTTTGTGTGTCCATGGAAGCCGCTGTGTCTGGTTTAGGATTAAACAAAACAAAGTGACTTTTGGCCCCTGAAGACCTTGCGGGGTGACATCCTGGGGGGTAAGAGGCTGCTCCCCGTTGAGTTTGCCCCTTGACCCCTGAGCCCTCCGTCACTCCTCTCCAGTCAGCCGTCTAGTTGCCGACACGGAGGGGAGGAGGAGCTCCAGAAAAAAGACAGGGTTAATCAACTGTAGATATTCTTCTTCACAGAACTGCATTTGAAAACAAAACGCCCGAGTCATTTGTTGTGATTCAGGCTGTGTGACGTGTCCTGATGATCTACTATACAATCTGTGTGTGTGTCTGTGTATTGAGTGTTCAATGCTGTTTATGTGTATATGCATCCATTGAGGTCTGTATTGGGCAATTGGAGATAAAGGGTCTTAAGAGTAATTAAGTTCTGGCTGGCTGCGGCCCTCATTAACAGTGAAGACCTTTGGCATAACAAGAGACCCGCTATCACTCTAACGATGGACAACGAACTGACACATCAGATCACAATAAACACTCGTACACACACACCCAGACACTGGGATACACCCTAACAATGTCAGACGAAATGGCTCATCTCTGTTCTTGTGTATACAGTTGATACAACTTTAGTTGTACTTACATAAATCTGGCAATCGGTTGACCTGATTACAAAACTACTCACGAGAGTAACTGAGATATCGAACCAAGTTAAAATCCCTAAAAATTGTTCTAACTTGGCAACAAATTAAAATCTTGGATTAGAATGGCACTCATTAGAGCACATACTAAGACCAAGGCCCAACCCATCCACTTCAATTCAATCCAACTGCACCAACTTGCACACACTCGTGTATATATAGGTTCACTTAATATGCCTGATGATTTTGTTCATCAAGATTCATGAATTCCCTGGGATATTGTTTTATATGTCTCAAAGTGTCCTATCTAGGAATGTCAAAGAAATTGATAGGACATTTTCTGGACCCCCACGTTTGTCCAGATCTTCAACAAAATTTAAAAGGTTCTTCCTCGGCCCATGTCCCCTTCATGTGATTCTGCTGACAGAGAAACTTACTATCAGGGGTGAATACATAACCTGATTTAATATTTTTTTACTATCCTACATTACAATGAAATGGAAAACATTATATATAATTATATTATAATCGACTAATCAATGTGGGTCTGAGTAACAAGAACAATCAATGGAAATCTGTAAAGTTAGCTCAATGTTCGTCATTACACTGATGCAAAATGACTGATGATGACATTACATTCCCATATTACTATACAGCAGTGTTGTTCTCCACAACGGCCTGATACAAAGGTGAGAGGGAACTTTTACTGCCATGGTGTCACGCATCATCATATGACCCAACCTTGATTTGCTGTGGCTGTTTCAATCAACAGATTTGAATCCAACCAAGGACATTTTTTGGGACCATCATGTATGACAGCGTTTTCCTGAACCAACATGAAAATCAAATGATAGAATATATTTTGGAAAAATTACATTTAATCCCTGACAATATGAAATCCATTTCAATAACTACTATGGCTGTTTTGGAGGCTTGTTATGACCCAGCACTTTACTACAAAACTTTATGATGGTCACCGATCGGTGTGTCCTGTATACAGCTACTATACAGAACAATGTTCGACCGAGTGGAAAAGAAACAGTCACTTTATGACCCACTGTCCTTAACAAGTTTTTATCAGAGAGGAAGTTCTTTATCAGTGGGTCCTAGTAAAGACAAGATGGGAGAGGAAGAAGAAAGTGAAAATTCAAGAGGGGTGGAGAGAAGCTTCCTCTGGAGTCATAAAGATCACAGCTACTAGAAAAACTGCGACTGTAATCACCAGCTCTGCAGTCCATCTCTGTCAAACCCCTTCCTGAGTTACACACTAATACAAAATGTATCTAATATTATATTTGGGTTCAAATGTATATTAACATGATAAGATCTAATGGGGAACAATTCCAATTCTGAATTATCAGATGAATATTTGGGCTGACACCATATATACCTCTTAATATGCTGGGTAGTGTGTTGTTGAATTGGACTGTAAATGAGTCTAAAAAAGTCAAAACAACCCTGAACCAAAGATGATGTTTTTAAATATGTTGTCAAATGTTAAATGTTAAACTGTACTCAGGCAGCCATGCAAGAAATTCAACATTTGTCTATCATCTATTTCTAATTTAATTAATGAAATATGCAATTAAAGAATTTCCTAAATAAATCATGTGTTGGAGTATTTTTTCTAAGCCTGTTTTCAGTATGTTGGATTATGAAAGTAAGGTAGAGCTGATAACATTAGGCTGCTTTCAGACATGCACTTAAGTCTGGATATTTTCCTGAAATGTTTCGGGGGGGATTTATGAGTGAACGCACATATCAGAGAAACTTTTGGGATCTTTTCCTCCCACACTGGTAAAACGTCTAAAAAATGTCAGAGTTGGCCTATGTGTGAATACAGCAGGAATATTTCTGGAAAATTCACAGTGAGCGAGAAGTCGTGTTGATGATATATAAGTTGTACCATTCACATAGAAGATGCCAACAAAGATGTCGACTTGGAATGACAACAAGATTTAAGAGCTTTTGGCCATAAGAGCCTTCATCGGAATTCAAAAAACACTGTGCTCTCTACAATAATTCTCTGTTGGTTGATCAAAACAAGAAACCTGAAGGCATCACCTTGGACTCTGGGAATCTCAGGAATGTATTTTTTTATACTGAGGTTTATTACCCAACTACTCATTACATACAAATATTCACCTTGAAGAGAGTGAGTGTGGAGGGCAGCAGTGTCAAGGTAGTGACGCAGTTTAATAGGAGGTTGCTGTGTGTGTGTGTGTGTGTGTGTGCGTGCGTGTGTCCCTCTCTCGTAAGGGAGTGTTTGAGCAGGCTGGGTAATCCCTGTAAAAACGTATAATCCCCAGGAAGAACAAATATTACAACACGCTTGAATCAGTCACAGAATACCTGGTGGGGAGAATTTGTTATGATTCACTTGTTTCTGTTTTAGGTGACTCGAGAAAGAAGTGGGGACAGACAGAGAAACTGAGATTTGGCAGCACTTAGTGGGCAGTGGATACCAGGTGGCTCTGAATGACAATTGGAACCAAATTAGCATATTCAAATAGGGAAAATAAAAAGTTTTTTAAAGACAATGGCAGCTGATATGCAAAGTTGCAGCTTGCCACAGAAACAAACTGCATACCTCAGCTGAGTGTTTGCAGCAGGATGAATGTGTGAACGAGAATGCTAGTGTTTGTACGTTACTTTAAATCCACGTGGAATCTCTGTCATTTCGAGTTAACATTTTTGCAAACACCATAAAGCAATAAAGGCAACATTTCTTAAGCCACAATGACACCGACACGTACGCACACTAAAAAAAATACGAATGGAGATTCCAGCCTCCTTTGTCTTTTTTTTGGGGCAAAAGAGAGCTGATGGTCCACATGCTTGTTCAAAGTCTCAGTGACTATTTTGAGCCCTGTGGTCCATTAGTGTCCTGCTGCTTCTCTAATCCTCATTCACATGTAATGGCTGACATTTCATCTTAATGTGTTAATTCATTAGCTGTGTGCTGAATGGAGAGTCTCAGTCCACAGAGACGGCCGTAAGCAGACACGCTAATGAGTCCCCACACTTTGCAAAACCACCGGCGACCGCAGAGCTAATGCCAAGCGAGGTGGGTTACCTGCTGCAAGAAAATCCCCTGTTACACCACCAGCTGGTAACCTGCGTGACACGCAGAGCTGGTATTGTTTGGATATTTTTATAGTCCGGAAAAAACTAAAAACCAAACCCGGGATCAGCTTTGCTTCAAGAAGATGTAAAATTTTTGATTTAAAGAACTTTCTGATCAAACACTAGACACCAGCTCATCTTACAAAACCAGAAATTGCAAATCCTTTCCTGTGCTGCAGACTGGGTCGAAGAACTAATTATCAAACATGATATTTGATTGGTGATTGAAATGCAAGTTATCAAGAAAACAAAGCTGACAAAGATTTGAGTCCAGTTTTGCTACTTGGAGGTTTTAAATACTTTATACAGATGCATGGAAGTTAAATACGATGCCTAAAAAGAAGGTGATTTAGTGCAGAACTGCACAAAAAAACTACTGATTTCTTGTCAGAAAAATACAGAAGCTCAAAGATCAAACCCAATCATCAGATGAAATAAATTTGCAACCGACCCACAACACAGACTGCAGACAGACAGAGCCAGTAGACGGAGGCCCAGACAGACAGTCAGGCTATCGATAGTCCAGAGCATCTCTCATCCCCTTTATTCAGGTCTCCTGTCCCAAAATCCTTGGTGCAAACACCCCCACCAATACCATCTGAAAGCCCCCAGATGTGTGTGCCCTCACTCAGTGCGGGGGCAGGGGGATAACCAAAGGAGGAGGGATCCATTTCTCGGAAGGACCGGCTACTCTCAGTGACGGCTTCTTAAATCTTTGTTCTGATGTTAGGAGCGATGAATCAAAAATGCCTGCCTCTTCCGCTCTCCTATCAATCACTCATAGTTGCACACAAACACATGCACGCTCACACAAAATGCAGCAGGAGAGTGTGTGTGTTCAAGGGGCAGTTGGAGGCTAGGGAGGGGGCTTCCTGTCATTTGAATTGCCCTCTACATGTGGGGTCAATATGTGCAATGCTTAATGAGTGTGTGTGTGTGTGTGTGTGTCAGGGGGTGAGGTGGGAGCTGCTGTGGGAGCTACACCCCCTCCCCATACTCCCTCCCCCCCCCCTCTTAAAGGCTGTATAAAGGAGGTGGGGGGATAAGCACTATTTGTCACATTGCTCTGAGACACAGAGACAATCACACTCTCACTGGACACACAAACACTCAGGACACTCACATTCCTCGGGGACATTCTGGTCATCCGGAGTAAAGAGGCTCCTCTGTCCTGTGCACTGGACCCTGGGTCTCCACAGGAGAGGACACACGACCACGCTGAGCATCACCAGTCCTGCACAGAGGGCGGAAGGACTTGTGGGGGGAAAAAACACAACAACCATTATTGACTGAGTTCTTCTGAAGCCACAAACCGAAGTCATGAGGATCTTCAGCCTGTTCTACGTGCTCCTGCTGCTCGCAGCTGCTGTAGCATCCGTCTCCTCCGCCAGACCAGGTGAGCATCTCCTCAAGCGTCCGGAGCTGCACAATGGCCGCCAGGTGTTGTTATTGAGGTTCTGATAAAGCTCGGCTCTTAAACTTGTGTTCTGAATCACAAGAGAAGCTACTGGACCCAACTTCTTGCTATGTTAGCTAACTTTAGCTAATGCTCAGTGGGTTTACGGGTTTGTTTGTTTGTTTGTTAGCTTAAACTTAAATTAAAAAAATTTAATTCATTTAATTGTAAAAGCATCACGTGCACTGAGTTACTTCCTGCTTGGTTAGCTAACTTTAACTAGTTGAGCTAACTTTAACCCACTCATTGACTTTAAAAGTTCAGTAATTACCTTAAACTTTTAATATAATTATAAAGAAAGTTGAGTTTCAGAGTCGTAGCATCGCTAAACTTTAAACTTCACTAAATGGCGGACAGGTGTCGTCAAACGTAGTCCCGGCTTGTGAGCGCTTTTACCAGTGATCCAAATCACTGCGCGACACAAGGTAAAGTCTGCAGGTAACCATAGCGACAGTACTTCTTTTTTTATCTTGTTTAAATTATGAGCAAAGAACTTAAAATAAGTCCAACTGTAGATATAACTTATATAAATATATATATAATACACTGTAAATGGTTCAACAAAGATAACACACTGATGGAACTTCAGTCGTCATGGCGGAAGCACACCGTGCACGTACCCACATGTTTTATTAATACTCAAACAATAAGCATCTTATTTTAAAATAATCCGCCAATGAAGAAAACAGAGAGGGAGCTGCGGTTGAGATTTAAAGTGTAAATTGTGTGGTGCACTATTTTTTTGTTGCGTAAATCCAAGTTGCGCTCTTACGCGTTCCGGCCTTGTGGAAGCCAAACAGCTGTTTTTGAGAAGGCGGGTGGGTTTGGGGGCTTCGGGTCGTGATTGGGTTCATGTGATGATGGAGAGGATGGAGGGAGGACGAGGGGAGGCAGCGACGCCTGGGGGATCGCACAGCGTCCCCCGTGGGTCCCTTTGTCCCCCGGCTGGAAGGCACTCCGGCGCGCTTTTGTGAATCGCGGTGTTAAACGCCAATGCAAATACGTCGGCTCCATTAACATGACATGGAGGAGCGGTGCCAAGTGTAAAGAAGTATAGCTGCAGGCGAGGGGAGCGGTTTGTGTCGGAGCTGCTCACAGGGAGCAGCAGGAGGAGGAGGAGGCCATAAAGTCATCTGGCACTTTATCTCTTCCTGGGCTTGGCTGGCAGCCTGTGAACCGCGGGAGTCAAAGTGGATTTATTAGGGACGTTTAAAAATAATCATGTGTTAGGTCTGCGAGTCCCACTTTATTATAGAAGGGGGTCGCCCCTGCTGCCGCTGCCGGTGAATGGATCCAAACAATAAAAAGGGTTTTAGGCATCACCTCCATGGTCAGGAGCGGATCCACTGACCCATAACACAAGTTGTTAGTTTAAAAATCCTCCATAATGGAGACTGTAAAAGATGTGGTTAAATCTAATTTTAGTGCTAAATGTGCAAACTGAGAGTACTTTAAAATGACCTTTACACCCAAGCAACTTTTCATAAGCAGAACATTTGCCTGTGAGCTGCCCAATCTACTTACAGACAACAAAATGTAATATCCAAAGTTTGCTGTTCCATATATAATGCTGCATATTTTAATCAAAACTTCTCTTTCCTTCAGATTTCCTCAACCTCAGGAGAAGATATCACAAACACCACTGCCCACACAGGCGCTGTCTGCCTCTCCACTCGAGGGTCCCCTTCCCCTGAGGTAAGAAGTGCACTCATGCGTGTTTCTGTGTAAAGACAGAGGTTATGAGCCGAGGCATGGGACAAAACCTAGTTAGAGCTGGCAGGTGGCGGTTAAGGAGGTGTGTGTGATCGGTGGCAGAGGTGTGTATTCACGCAACAGTGCAGGGGGGGAAAGGCTCAGACATAAATCTCACTAACGATGAAGAGGAAGGTTTTAGTGCCACGAGGAGGGGGTAGTTTTCAGCTTTAATTTGGACTCCTGCACAGTTACTTAATCTGTTTTTGTCCCACTCTGAACCCTTCTCATCCAGACACTGATAAATGTTGTTTTTTCCATTACAGGTGGAAGCACAAGAAAGAGAGAAATATAAAAAGCAAGCAACTGGAAATCCATGGATGGATCCTTTTATCAGGGCATGGACTGAAATGGAGGGGGGGAAAACTATGGAGAAAAAAAGCCATTTAAAGACTATATGTATATACTATGTATATGTAGCTGTTCATGTACGCACACGCAGCTTCAGTTTTCATTCCAAAGAAATATAAACCATCTTATATATTATTGTATGGCAGTGAGGTGTTTCTCTGATCCTCACGCACCGTCCCTCCTCGTCTGCAAAAGCCAACGCTACTTTCACCGTCATGGACAAAGAGTGAGGGAGCTTCAACATCCTCCACGATGAATCCAGACGCTCCACTGAAAAGCTACAGACCAAAGAGACTGAAGAGATGTTTAGTGACTGCAGCTACAATGAACAGCGCCCACATAGTATTCCTATAAGTGTTTAAAATGCATGTATGCACTTCAAATGTTTATTGAATTACATTATAAACTTTTTAATAAAAAAATTAATGAATGTACTTGTTGAGTTTCGTGTGCATCAAAGTAACACCTGACAATAGATGTGGTGAACTGTGGCAACATTGAGAATCGTAGTTTAAACCAGACTCCATTTAAATTTGGGACAATTTCAGTAAAAACAGAGTAAAATCAAATGTCTGTGTTCGCGTAAGCCCCAGAGCAAACAATGACCCTGATACCCGCAGCACTCTGGACGACACCCAGCAGCAGCCACATGGGAAAGAAGTCGTAAATGCCACACTCCCTGTGGAGTTGCGGACGCCAGAGCATAAAGGAATCACAATGGGGAACAAACACCGAGGGCTCATATGACGACCTCGATATTTCGTTAACGTAGATTCCCGTGACTGTTGAAATTTAACACAGACAAGGTGAGGCGGGAAAAGGCATTCACACCAGCCAATGTTGACACGGCAGAGCTTCTATTGTTCTGTCTTTTTTTTTTACAAAACATTACACAAGATAAACGCTTAACAGCAGCTTCTTACTTGGGTTTCGTTATAGTGTAAATTCTCGTCCTGACAAAGGCTTCAAATGACATGAAATAAACTAAACAACAGAATATTTTAGATTTATTGGAAGTCGATCACACATACTCAAACTAACTGACTTAAACAAGTAGAAAAAAATGTCACTGCTTTATATATTTACACAAATTCAAACATAAAAATACCACTTACAGACATATTATGATGTTATTTGAGATGTTTTGACCGTGTAAAGCGATAACCTCTCCCTCCTGCATGTCCTGCTCCTTCAGTCCCTCTTTAGTGCAGATGATCTCTAAAACAAATTCGCTCCCTCCGCTTTTCTCACAGTAACAGGCGACAGCATCCACGGGTCACTGGGGGTCGTAAAAGAGCGATAAAAAAACCCTTCACCTCTGATCTGTGACCCATGACTCCTCTTCTCCTCATCTTAAACCTTCCTCCACTTTGAGCTCACCTCCTCCTGCGTTATTTGTCCAACTCGCCCTCCCGTCTCAGTCTGTGCGTACAGGTGCATTTGCCTATTTCAGGCTTTTATCCAGTGTTACTCATGGCCTGAGTTTTTTCTTTAGAACCACAGATCCTCTGCAGCGCTGCCCTCTGCAGAGAGGCCGGGCTGTGGTCAGTGTTGAGCGGTCAGGTTGAGAAGCCTCTTGCTCAGTAAGGTGTTGTGCTGCTTCAGGTACTCGATCAGGTCGGCCTGCTTCTCCACCACCTCCTCAAGACTTGAGCCCTCTCTGACACACAGACACAAACAGCACACACATATCTTTAGACAGGAGTCTGCCACATTGCCGGCTTCATCTGATAAGTCTTGTGATATTGTATATTTTTCTTTTTTCCAATCCACATATGAGACTAAAGCCAACTATGAACTGATCTTAAGTATTATCAAATAAGCTAAGCATTGTCTATCTAAAGACCGATACAGGTTACATCCATACTCGTATGTTTTCATTTTAAATCGCAAACAATCTTGGTCCTAACATGGTTTGAGCTGTGCCTCCGTACTAACGCACCTGAAATGCATATCACATGACCATTCAAATACAATGGGCATGCAGCCAGTTACTAAGAGCAGGGGTTTTTTACGTTTTCCAAAAAGCTATAACTCACATTTTGTACAATGAGGAAACTTTTTAACAATCGATGGAAGGAAGAGAGGAGCTTCCTCCCGAAAAGGTAGAAACTCAACACTTTTACTGCAAATGTAAGGGATGTTGTCATATCTCAGTTTGAATATAATCTAAAACAACATGGACACAAAGTAAATAGAATAAATGTAAACTCCTCTGGTTTGATCCTGAGAAATAAGGCGTTAAAAATAGTTGAGTCTTCTCATCAGCAAGAAAAAAACCTTGCTGTTGTGACAGTGAGGTCGCTTGGCAGGTTATCCAAACATGAGGCAGACAGGCAGTGACTGAAAGGGGCTAGAAAGTGTGTGTGGGCGAGTGACATCTGTGTACCTGAAGCCGGTCTCGGTCGGAAGACTTGTGATACTGTAATTGTGCAAGTGATCCTCTTGGCTTACGTCTGGTGCGGCTCGCTCACTGTTGAATCGCATCACCTTGACTAGAAAACACAAACACAACATCTTCAGTCAGACACACAAACATTATCGAGCAGTGAGAGCTTTCCTGCAAACGCTAATCACTCAGGTGAGAAACAGCACACATTTGTTTTTTTACTGTTTTCCATCCCTCTCCCTTCTCCTAAACACACACAGGCTGTTATATCCTGCACTTAGCCCTTATGGGCTGCCATATCCTGCACTCAAACCTCTAATTCTTACACCCTAAACATACACCTTGACAAAAGAGGTGGGAATAGCAGCGAGGTGTGAGTGTCTAGGATACAGTGGGCGAGAGGAGAAGAGCCAGAGCCAAAATATGGATGAATGTTGCTGCTGTCTGAATGGAGATAAGGCTGCGGTGTGTATGTGAGTGTGTGTGTGTGTGTGAGGAAGGGCAGAGGGAATAGCAGGCTGAGTATTGATAAGACTGTGAGTGAGTGTCATTAGCCAGAGGAAATTGTCAGGGAGGTTCTAAAGAGCGCTATCTTTGCTTTGCTACAGTTCAGCATCTCAGTATCCACACTCAAACACAATCCTCAGAAATACTGCACATTCCTGCATAATGAGGCCCTAAATCTGTGTGTGTGTGTGTGTGTGTGTGTGTGTGTGTGTGTGTGTGTGTGTGTGCGTGTAAATAAAGAAATACTAAGCACGTATGTGTGAGAGAAAGACATTCCAAAGAGCCAGAGAAATGAATGTGGTGGAGAAAAGAATAGAAGCAGGTAAAAGGATAAAAAGTGATGATGAGCCTCTGTTTGCCGAGAGTTTGTAACAGAGAGCGAGAACGCAAGAGGCAAACTGGGGTCAAGTATTTACAATGTATACCACCACGATGAAACACGAGCATTACCTCAGATTTTTAAACGGTAATATTTTTGACTTCTCCAATACTTCCCTACAACTGTGTATGTGTGTGTGTGGGGGGGGAGTTACAACTTGTGATAATAATAATAAGAATATTTTTTAAGAAACAATCAAAACATATTGATGATGAATTTCTTCCTGAACTTTATTTTGGAAGGGCACACTGAAAAGCTAGAATGGCACTCAGTAGAGCACAAACGTCCACCAAGGCCCAACAGTCCCCTTAAATTCAATCAGTTTGCACATCGGTCCTTTACTTATTTTTCCATTAATTACTTCCTGGGAAAACAAAACTGAACAATGTCCTGGATTCGCCCCCTGATCCAGATCTGCACCAAATTCAATGGGTTATTTTCTGAAAACCACTTCCCTCCACAAAGGTTCGTGAAAATCCGTTCAGTAGAAACCAAACAAACAAACAAATGGACAGGGAGAAAACATTACCTCATTCCCGAAAGATAAACATTGTCGTTTCTTATTTGAGATAAGAGTAGAGAATTTATTTACAGTGAAACCTCATACACATGTGTCATGTTGATTTCCACTGTTGTTTGGTTTGGTGCTACAGTAAATATCATATATTTATGCAGATATGAGAGCAGCATCCTTGTCTGTGACATCGTACAGTTGTGTCATGTAATGTGGAGTTTTGCATGTCTGTAAATCAGGTGGTTTCATAGTGTGTGTGTAAGTATATCAAACACAGTGAAGTGTGTGCAGTGTGTTTGGATTGGGTCAGTCAGGATGTCCAGGAATTCTTTAAATCAGGTTGATGTCTGTGGAATTTAGTGAATCAGAGCAGCAGGAGAAACAGATAGAGATACTGGGGCGGGCGGACGGACGGACGGATGGATGGAGTGTAAAAGAAGTGACACATTTCACACATCCCTGTTAGAGACTCACGCTGCTGGACAGACAGTGCTCAGACCTGGTCTGCTCAGATCTAAAAAGCTTCTATCACCCATCCAGAGCTGCACATTTCCAGGTGATAACAGTGAAGAGCAGAGGTGCTAATGGCTGATGCTACCACACAGAGTGGTCAAACGACGACGCAACGACTGGATTGAGAATCAAAGACTTGGAGGGAAATGGATCCCAACAACCAAACTCACAGACTTTCCATTTTGAATTGAGCAGCGTTAACATCTCTCAGATCCTCGGAGCATTGTGGAAAATAAAGCCTGCTCTTCATATCATATAATTCATTCATTTCCTGGTCATATTCTTTTTTTCTGATTTTGTTGTTTAGTTTTTTAACTTATTGCTCTTTCACTTTAGGTTCCTGTCTTCATCTTTCTCCTTATTCTTACGGTACCTGCTTTTAATTCGGTTTATTTTTGCATCGCTTGCAAGTGAAAACCTACTTTGCAATATTTCTGATTGTGATTAATGTGAAGGAGAAAAGAATCACAAACCTACTTCAAGGCCAAACTGAGGCAATACTGAGACTTTCCACTGATGTATTGAACGTATTCTCCACAATAAGCAACAAGTGTAGAAAATCTAAAGAATATAAATGGAAGATAATTGTTCTGTAGTATTAAATCTTTCAGAGCATGAACACAGCTTGTAAAGAGCTTGAATGGTGAACTGACTTTACTTGGACATATATTACACACATATATTATTCAAACTTCAGGAGAATACGTTTAACAAACTGTTAGTATTGTTATTGAATGGCATCACAACCCACTGACGCCGACATTGGTTTTATATTGATCTGGCATCGCTCTTCAATTCTAGAAACAGGTTTTTATAATAACTAACTCTCAGAGTGGAACTGAATCTAGAAACAATAATAAAGTCATCTATCTATCTATCTAGAACACAACTCACTTAAATAGATTGGCTGATGGAAATAAATCAAATCTGAAAAGGTTAAACCAGGGTGTTGCTTAAGAACGCTGCAGTGACCACTTTTAACGCTGTGTGAGTGTGTGAGTCTGTGTGTGTGTGTGTGTGTGTGTGTGTGTGTGTGTGTGTGTGTGCACGCGCCCTGCAGTGCTTACACTATGTTCTGACCAGGCCAAGGAGAGAGATGTATTCTAAGTTTACTCTTTGAAGGCCACGGCATGGCTTTGATGTGCATGGAGGTCTATAGAGGAGAGAGCATTCATGTTAAAATGAGAGAGGCAGAAACATACAGAAAACCTCAAAGACACACACACACACACACACACACACACACAAGCACAAGCACACACACACACACACACGCACACACTTACAATCAGCACGCACTTCAAAGAGAAGTTGAACGAGGCCTTCCTGTATGGACTTCATAGCTGCAGGCATTATATCTCTACCTCTCTCTTCTCTAAAGAGTTTTTCTTTTCTTTCTTGATCTCACTGATGCCGACATGACACTTTGCATCAGTCGGAGTCAGAGTGCGTGTGTGTGTGTGAGTGAATATGTGTTTCTGGGTTAAAAGGTTTGCGCTGCGAGGCGTCGCTCAGTTTGCGCCATGCCTGACTGCACTGATCTGAGCAGGAATGCGACGGGTGAACGGAGATACCCCCTCACACACTGGATCACCGTCACTGTAAACACGGGGACAATGTGTGTGAGTGTGTGTCTCCCTCCTTGTGTTTGGGTGGAGCGGGCTCAGGACTACCCTTTGGCTAGGTTAAATCCTAATGCCTCTTATCTCCTCTCTTTGCCTCTCTGGTATCTTTGCCCCACATCTGTGCCCTTCAGCTGCCAAACACACCTTTAATATGAATTTCCTTTCAATACACATTCTTTCATATCAATATCCTCTGATAGAGCATCTGTAACAGCGGCTTTCCTTTAGATGAGAGCAAGGCCACTGCATTAACCAACACCAAACACTCTGGGTAATATACACATGTTAAATCATTTGAATTATCACTTTAATATATGTTATAGCATTTCTAAACTGTTTCCATGAACATATTTATCGAATAAATCAAGTAAATAAACAATAACATCAGATTTGTCACAGTGTGGAATCCCTGTAGATGTATTGGCAGTTAAAAGTCCAACAATGGACCTGCCAACATGACACCTGAGTATCTGAGTCTTTAGTTTGAGGAATTATACTTTATACTGTTAGTCTAAAATAATTAAAAGACATTGAGCTAAATCAAATCAGGCAATATTCTGTGAAAATTAATCTTAAGACTGCAGCCACTTCTAATGGCAGATCCTTATTACGTGACAGTCGGAGCCTGACCTCAGCTCAACTCCTCAGCATGTGCTGAACACACCGCAGATAATTACAAACATCCACAGTGAAGTTTTACGACTCTTCACTTTTTTAATGCTGTTCTAAACTAAGAACCCTAAATTAACCCCTCACCCATTATCTAATTTCTGCTTTGTTATATGAATTGGTCATCCTCACACATCAGTCCGCCATCTTGTCCGATGTTTATTAGTTAATACAAAATCAAACTGTGTTTCTACAAAAGCTTTAGGGGAAGAAATGCAGAATATGCAAAAGGCTTTATCATATTTAGGAGGGACGTCCAAACGCACAATGTAAATGGTCTTTACTGCTTTATCACTGATTTTGGCTTAATTAAGCTATTTTCAGACATTCACTGAAAGTCCGGAGATTTCCATGAAATGTTCCAGAGGAGCTGTATATGAGGAGAGAATGGAAACTTTTCTGGAACTTTTCTCTGACATTTTCCTGTTGTTGTGAACGCATCGGCCACAGACGGGACACGGACAATATCCTGCTTTGTTCTTCATATGTGAAAGGCAAAATCTTTTCTGGAGTTCATGCCTGAAAACAGCCATATTCCTAAAAGGCTGTGACTTCTGCAGCAAATTAAGTGAAACGTCACCAAACCCTGCTCTTGAAGCATTCCGCTCTGGTCCAGAGACAAATAACAGACGTATAGGTATGAGTGTCATCCAAGAAAGTTTGCATGGAGTTTATATTTGAAGCAAAAAGAAAAATAGCACATCAGCAGAGAGAGAGGGGGAGAGAGGGGGAGAGAGAGGGGGAGAGAGAGGACAGAGAGGTGAATGGTTGATTGTCATGCTGTTGAGTCTGAAAAGGGCAGGGCAGGTATTGTGATGCGAATCTGCTCAGATTGAGAGTGGGGGAAGTGTATGAGTGTGTGTGCATGAGTGTGTGTG